AAAGAGTCAAATTTATTAGTTATGCTTCTAATGTTTAAGTGCATCATCGAAAAGTTATTGAGATTTTCATTATTTATTTGTTTTTTAAAATCATTTGGTAGATAATATTCACAGTTTATTTTTGACGATTTATCGAGATTTGCGTTGTTTTCAGATAGCGCAATATTATTACTCGTGTCGAAAGGGTTGAATTTCAAATGCATTAGTCTATCCATTTCTTCTTCACTGATATTGATTCCGTTTGAGACAGTAAATTCGTAATCTAAATCATCGAGTGATTGAAAAGGTAACGAATTGGCTAAGCAATGTTGACACAAATCAATTGTAGTGTTATCTATGCTGGAGTTGAATGACTTTGTGCATGCAGGCACAGCATGAAACCATTTGCTACATGTTAAACATTCAATAGACTTTTGTGTTTTTTGGATAGTTTTGAAGCAAGAAGAACATTTCTTCTTGTGCTGATTGTTAAGTGTGGTCATTGGGAAGGTTTATGGTACAATAATTGATAATTTGAAGTAAGAAATAGACTATGGGGTGGTGTTTAGTTAGTAAAATATAGACTATGATATTAAGACTATCAGGTTTCAAACTTTTAAGACCTATTGTAAAAGACTTGCCCTTCAATTATTAATTTATCTCTTACTATTTTGGCCCTTTTACCTTCGGCTTTAGCTTTTTTCGGTTCGGGATATAATGTCTTTCTTACGCTTTCGGTTTCTTCAGGGAACTGTTCAGATACCCCGATATTCGTTCCTTTAAATTTCTTCGCGTTTATCCGCACATGTTCTCGGTCTTGATAATAATTGAACTTGACTACGATTGGACGTGGTTTGCGATTTCCCTCTCTTTTTCTTCCAATTCGGTGGGACCGGTCAATCTTGACTTTATTCCGTGCGTCGCGTATTTCCATTTTCGTTTCGAGTAGTTCATGAATGATTTCGGTGGTATTTTCTTGGTCGCGTTCAGGTATATTAAAGAACAGTAGATTGTCGCGCATGGATCTCGCTTGTAGGTCTACTATTTTGTTACGCAATGTGGCGTTGTCTTGCTCCAGTTTTCCTATTCTTTCTCTTGTTTGTTCTTGATTTACTTTGTTTGTTTCATTTTGCTGTTTTAAATCTGCTATTTCAGCATGCGCGTATTCCAAGGAATGTTTTATCTCTTTCATGTCTGCTTCTATTCCGTCAAGCTTCTCAAGTTTCGTCATCATAGTCGAGAACATTTGTTGAATTTGGCGCATATCTACTTCTTTTTCTCCTTCTTTTTCTTCCATTCTTCTCTCTGGTGTGTTGGGTTTAGGAATTTTAGTTTGGACTGCTTTTAAAGGCGTACATGGGTTGGTGATATTTAAATTTTGCGCAGCGCGCTTGGTGGCTTGCTTCCTGTCCGCCATGTTTACTTTTGATTTATTTATTTCATTCTACAGCATTTATAGTTCTACAGCTATCTTATACAGTTTTATAATATTGTGAATGATTCCGAATATTCAAAACGAATTGAAAGAATGAAAGCAGTAATGATGTACTGTATAACGGTTTAAACTTAGCCGGCCGTACAGCTCACTGCCACCGGTCACTGAGCCGAAGGATAAACCGAAAATTCACTTTTCTCATCACAAGATTTAATGTTCAGTCGATCCGCTACATTGAAAGATGAGTATACTTGGCTATTTTTTGGCAGGGGTAACGAAATATATCGGCTGTTCTCTACAGTAAGTGTTTCTTTATGTGTTGCCCATCGGAATATAATCCCCGAGCCGACGGCGCGAAGCGCCGTGCGAGGGTACTAATTCCCCCCGGCTATTTACACCCGGGGAAACGAAAGCATTAGCGAAGTCTAAAGTTCATCAAATATCGCGGGCGTGGGTCACTGTGCGTGTTTCGGTGGGTGGTCATCCTCACTGATCTCATAATATAACGGACTGTAATGAATAGCCAACACTGATTGGTCCAATTTAAAATTGGGATTATAACGGCTGCATGACGATTGACGATTGACGACAGCGAAATTGATTTAATAATTTCTTGCAAATATATTTCATTTGTGCAAGATTTTGTAAATTGCAAAGGATTTTTGATGAAATAAAGGCAAGAGGATTGCTAAAAGAAGGAAGTAAAGGTGCAGACGTTAACGAAGGTAAGTTTGTTTTAAATATTGATGCATTGTTTCCTTTTAATATACTGTAATCTCGGCTGTAATTACTTTAAAAGCCGATCGTTGCGTATATAAAATATGAAACAAGACAGCGTATTATTTCAGTGTTTCTTTATTGATTACACTTTTTATTATACTAAGCAAAGTTATTTACATGGGAGAATTTGGAATAATTTTGTTTCGAACTCAAAGTTTATTGATAAAGGCAGTTTAGTTTTATATTAAAAGAACACTTTCAAACGTTTTGCGAAGCGTTTGTGGTTGAATTTTACCTAAATTGAAGGTTATAATATTACGTATAATAACATACCTACTGTAATTACTTTAAAAGCCGATCGTTGTGCATAAATATGAAACAAGACAGCGTATTATTTCAGTGTTTCTTTATTGATTACACTTTTTATTATACTAAGCAAAGTTATTTGCATGGGAGAATTTGGAATCATTTTATTTCGAACTCAAAGTTTATCGATAAAGGCAGTTTTGTTCTATAGTAAAAGAACATTTTAAAACGTTTTGCGAAGCGTTTGTGGTTGAATTTTACCTTAAATTCAAGCTTATATTACGTATAATAACATACCTGACATATATATGTTTAGGAAATTGATAATTTTGTAATTAAAAGTGATATTTATAGGGGATTTTTCATTTGTAAAAATATTCTTAAAAAATTATCGTGTTACCATGACAACAACTTAAAGGCACAGTTCAGCCTGTTGAGCGATGGTTTTTAAGGCACATTTCAGCCCTGTTAATTGAAAAAACTAACTAGGAAAATCAATTAAGCATAATTCAAAATCAGTAAACTCGATGTTTTTAACAATATGAATGTTTTAAAATGTTAAAAACATTAAGATTGGTGATTTTGAATTATGCTTAATTGATTTTCCTAGTTAGTTTTTTCAATTAACAGGGCTGAAATGCGCCTTAAAAACCATCGTTCAACAGGCTGAACTGTGCCTTTAAAATACTTCGCGTTCGGAAAATAAAATAGTTTTGTCTGCAAGGCGAGGGTTTCTGCATGCATGTATTTTCTAGTATAACTACATAAGCTTGATAGATGTAAGATAACGAGTTTCACAATCCCATTTTAAATACTATGGCTTTTGGCAGCCTGGTTTTGCATCATATGTGTTTTTCAGTAAAAGCCCCATTTTCCTACTTCCCCAACGTGTAATACGCGAAAAAAACTTTGTTAATAATAACAAAAAATTGTAATAGTAAACAATGTATTTTATTATAAAGGATTTTCGTTTTTCTACTGCTCCGTACTTCGTGTGCTCCGTGCTCCGTGTGCTCCGTACTCCGTGTGCTCCGTGCTCCGTGTGCTCCGTGCTCCGTGTGCTCCGTGCTCCGTGTGCTCCGTGCTCCGTGCTCCGTGTTTTACTAATAGCCTTAGGAAAGACATTACCACACAAAAGAGCATTTAATCTTTTGGGATGAATAAATTTGGTAGAATTTACAAAACTGGCATATTTTTCGCGAGTTTATATTTCGATTTCGTTGTATTGTTTTGCTTGACCTTGTCTATTGTCTATTGACCTTGTTTACATAATATAAGTTTTATTTAAAGTAACGCACCTGATTGGATAATAAAATTAGAAAGCCATTAAAGTGCTGAAGTGCACAATATTATATCTATTTATACGTCTACGTCACTGTACAGCATTAGTGACAAATGGTCGCAGACTGTAATCCTTCCACCACGGGGGGAAGAGACAGTCTGTGCGCAGACTATCAACATGCCTGTAATGTGTAATCTGAGCAAATTTGACCAATCAAATCACATGAACTAAAATGCAGAATAGTCAATTTTCATTTCAATACCGCTTATTTGACTTATCGTTTGACTAATCAATCGCTGGCTCAATGTGCAAAAACTGATCGAAGTTTATATGCTGGAGTGTGATGTAGTTTTGATTGCATGATCAGAAATGAAGAGAAGCGTTTGCGCTGGGAAAAAATTCAAAAACCTTAGTCCAAATTTTTTTATATGCCTTTTTTTTACGTTAGTCGCGTGACTAATCTGACTACCCCTAGATCCGCCCCTGTTTCGAATATGCTTAAATGCAACTGCATCTCAACATCAACCAAAAGATAACTGTTTTCTTGAGGAACATATAACGTATCAAGTCTGTTTGAAATTAATGAAACTCAAGTAAAGGTTACTATAGTTTACCCCAGTCGTAATGAGTGCTATTCCAACACCTCACGACAAGCAATCCACATTGGCATAACGGCAAAAACATCTCTTCCTTCAAGTAAACAATAAACAGTCTGTTCTTGTCCATTTATAATCGAAAAAAGTGATCAATTTTCGAATTTTAAGCTTATCGAGAGCCTTTGTGATGAATCACTTATCTAATTATAGAGTCTAACAGCAAACAGCCAATCAGAATGCCGCGTTCGTGGGCGAACGCGGAAAGTACAAAATACCGGGCCTTGCTTGCAGGCCCACTATCAAGTTCTCTTGAGCCTGCTCCCTTGGGCCTGCACGCGGGCTAGATTTGATGTCAACAATTAATACAATTTCGCTTGATTTTCAAAGGCCATAAATCGCTAGAATACTGCTGTTTAGTAATACATTTGACATCTGTAAATACAATTTCTTACGCTGAATCGAACGGTGGTATTTTTATCCTTATTGCGCCATTTATAAGAGGCATTACAAATACAATATCATGTTTCGCACTGAGTACACTACAGACAGTTTTCACGGACTGTTGTTCGATAAATTTTATATTGATATGACACCAATATGCTTCTCATAAAGTAGTTATAATTTAAACTGCACAACGTAGTTTTAATAAATAACCTTTTACCTTGAAATTGTCTTTGGCTCCTTTATATTCAGATTCAGTATATTATGATCGTGCACGGGAATTCAACGATCCAAATTTCGGATTTTCAGAGTCGTGCACCAAGAAAAACGCATTAAATAAACAAGCATGAATGTCCAGAGTTAGACACAAAGCAAAATCCATAGAAAACAGGTACAATTCGGCCAACATTTTCAGGAAATGGGGCCCGGAATTGTTTGAATCATTTTGCCCACTCCACGAAAGGCCCCGCCATTTTGAAAAGGATCAAGCAGCTCATTAATATTCTATTTTGTGGCTATCGACGATTGGAGATCCGTGACCGTGACAAATGCAAGCCGAAACCAATCTCGTTCCCAGAGTATGCCTGTTCGCGGGTTAGGTAGTGGCGAAACCGAAACCTATACTCGTCCGGGGCACAGGTGCTCCAGCGAGTAATTAGATTTATTTCATTTACATATAGAAAGAAACTAAAATATCTCAAGAACAAAAACGATAAGCTGTACATAGAAAGTAAATTATTTTACAGATTCTTCTGCCTAAAGTAGACTTAAATTTCGTTGCCATGCAATATAGAAAACTCTCCTGTTTTCTTTGCCACGCCATTGGCCAATATCGCAGAAGACAGGACAGACTTCATGTAGACATTCAAGTACTTACGCTGAAGCTGAGTAGCTTAATTCGAGATAAAAAGGAAGTCGCTATCACACATTTTGTGTTTTTTTTTTCAATAAGGGACCGGTCATTATTTATGGAGGGGGGTGGCACCGAAGAGAAATGTTTTTCGTGGCAAATATTTTGCTGACCCAACCATTAAAAAGTCAAAAATTTGATTACCCAACCTCAACAAGGGCGAATTTCGTTTTTGACCAATCAGAGCATTTGTTTACCTTTTGGCGCTAAGCCAATCAGAACGCGTACATTGTTACTACTTCCGGTTTAGACGCGTATTTCAACACGAAAATTACGGTTGTAAATAAAGCCTGGGGGGGGTCTGGTTTTTTAATTTTTTGGACTTATTTCAATGAAATCCTATAAAATATAAAATTTTCGAAAAATTTGCCGCTGGGATTTGCGTCTCATCGCTTAGTTTTGAAATTATCCGCATTCAAAAAACGGCGTATGCAAGGTCACTCTAGTCTCCTATGCAGACCTACTTTAGCGGGTTTAGGCCCGCCACGTACGGTCTGCTTACTTTCGCTAGCAATTCGCCTTCCCATTGTATTCCATTAGCCAATAACATTCAAATACACAAGACACGCCCACTTTGAATGTCAACTGTAAAGTGTAAACAAGGAGCGTGCGATAATCGAATAATAATACGGTATATACGTATTTAAATGGCCTTAAATGTGAACAGATCGAGTTTTCTGACCAATAGCAGTCGAAGTAGAAAATATTGAATATTTTTCCAACGAAT